GTTTGCACAAACTTTGATTTTTCGTGGCTTTTTGTTTTTCGGTTGATATTTTGCTCTTTCTTGTTTTAGTCACTGAGCTGATGAAAAAAGTATCGTGTAAGTCGTATTACATTGTTCAATCAGGCAGACTGTTTATGTGGCCCACGCGCAAAAGTATATCAGCCACTAGGAAGTTTCTTTTCATTGATGGCAGCTTGAGTATAAAATGCGCGTGGATTACCGATGGGAATTTTGTTTTTATCATGTGCGGTGTTAGTGAACAATTCCGTGGATTTTGAAAAAAATATTCTAGTTCCAAATTGAGATAGACTGCACGTTCGAAGGCAAATTGAAAACAGATTGTTTGATATTTTCAATGAGCCGAACAAGGATTGATATGTTCGGTGTTCAACTAATGTATATGTTTTTCTTCACCTTTATTCCATTCGACATTGCGTCGCTCAAATCGTTCTAATAATGAAACATTACTTAAAAACCCTGAATCATTTACTTAGGAAAGGAAAGGTAAAAACATCTGTAAGAAAATAAATTTTCGTAGTGTCAAATCTAGAACTGGAAAGTGTATAAAGGCGCTGCCCCGGTCAGTAACCAGGAAACACTGTGTAAACCTACAAATGACAATCACGAGTCTTCCACCGTGCTCTCCAGAATGTGACAAAAAAACTTCAATGAGATCTGCCTCAAAATCAAATTCATGAGCGAAAGCTTTGCGTTAATTGCTGAATTTGTAATGCTTCATTTTGCTCAACATTTCAGCTCTTGCGAGTAAGTCACGGCTGATTTTTTGTGGACTTTCAAATAAAAAATAAGTTGCCAAAAATTGGAAGTATGCGGCTGACTAGTATGTTTTGCCACTGTAGTTCTTGGCTTATCTAAATGAGGAACACAGCTGGTGTAAGGGAAATATAAAAGCATAAATTTGTAAGCTGATAACCGAATTAGAACCGGCCGATAATCCTTCAAATTGGAGCATGGGTGTGAACACAAGACAAAAAGTACATCCCTGTTGCGAAGCTGTAAATTACCAAATGCACACTCATTTGCAAACTAATTTGATTCTTTCGAGAGACTCACCTGGAACCCAGCTGAATCTCTCGTTTATGATGTCCTCGAAAGAACCAAATTAGTTTGCAGATGAGTGTATATTCGCTAATTTCGAGCAATTTGGTTTCAAGTAAAACATAAGGTTGACGGAATCCCGTGGACTGCGGCTACCTGATGAGCCCCAAGAAAAACGAAACCGGTCGTGGGCTGTCGATGGATTTTCAGCAACCTTATGAGTAGCACATTACAAAGATAAAGCTGTAAATTGCCTTTACAGTTAGTGGTCATGTGGCCAGTATTAAAGCAAATATATTTACTGTAAAATGTATTTGATCCAAAATTGTACAACCTTTGTGAACAGTGTTTGATGATCAAATTATTAGCGGTCAGTTGATCGAGTGTGGCGTTTGCCTTGCGAACGTTTAATCAGTACTGAAGAAGCTATTAATGCAATCTCGCTTAGCCAAGACATTTTACCATAACATTTCTGAACTGACATTTTAAGTTAAGCCGTGAAATTACTACCGACTTGCTTTTCTCTTCAGCAGCAAAAATATTGCGTATCAAAGAAATATTATCTTAGAGTTCTGTTTACTGAGCAGACGGAAAGAGAGGGTTTTGCGCCCTCCATTCTTCCAATACAATTTTGACTAGTAATTACTCAGATACTTGTGAGTTTCTGGAGGCCTTCATAAAAAGGTCGCTGGAGAAGCGCTACTATTTTGGCATGCAACCAAACTGAAGCTTGCAAGTGAGCGCCGGTAAAAGGATTCGGTTTGTTTCCGACGTTTGGATGTTTCATCGCGTGGCCTTCAAAAAACACAACGGTTGTCAACTGCAGGTGTATCTGTTGGTCCTACAAGTGAGAAGCACCAATTCGTTTGTAGAGATTGAGAAACCCGTTGGAAGTGTTGGATCTTGAGCCGGTTGGGTTTATTCTTCATAATAAGATTTGCTAGCCACGCAACTTTTAGGCTACTTTTTGGGCCACGGGTAAATTTAGCAAGCAAGCCGATTCACTACGTCTTTTGCATTTTTTTACCAAAAGTTCAAACTACTCTGTCTAAATCAGCGTCACAGGGGCGATTGTGGTTAACCCTCAAAAATACGTTGATGACAAAAGAACTAGTAATAAGATGGTAAATTTGGTGATGTAAGGATATTTGGGAAAATTTTAATTTTACGGTGAGCGGAGCCAGTCTGTACTTGGAAAATCGGGATGTACTTTAGCGTTGTTCTACCATTTTAAGAGCCACCAACAGTGGCCATCATAAGGCTCTCTATACATAGTCTCTAGCCTGTGTATGACGGCTGGTGGTAGGAACACCTAGCAACGAGCAATTTATTATTAATACACTAACCTTACATCCACGGGAGGTAAAGCACCACCTATCGTTCGCTATGAAGTCGAGTTCATTGGGTCAACTGAGGATTGTCCTGCCCTTATGGGGTAATGTTTTTCATACTCTGAGCCACCGGCAGAATATCAGGTTGTCGATTTAGACTGGCCTCAAGTACGTATAATAATATTAATATTTATTTCCAACTAGTGGGTAGCATACCGTCAGGCATGATCATAGTATTACACCCGGAATAAGAGCAAGACCGATGGGGTTTGTGACTAATGGGAATTTCCTGGAAAATGGGCGGTGACGTAAAAAGTGGGTATTAAGGAACTAGACACCATCACACCTGAGGTGGCATGGGTAGGCATCCAATAGTACAGGGGCTGTTCATCTCCCATGGAGAACATATTAGATGGCGCAAGATCTGATCTTTAGGATTTGAAAGTGGCGGGCAAAAACAATACGAGTGAGAGCATAACAAAAGCTTCCTTCCTGGAACGTGACAAAAAACTTCAAACTGCAGGAAGTGCGTGGCCAGAATAATGGATCTAGGGAGGCAGCAGAACTGCCTAGACATGGCCGGCCAATTTTGAACTAAAGCCCAAAACCGTCACTGGGGCATCATGGCCTTGGGCTGTTGGGTGTGTGGCAACGGAAGCGTGAGTGTGGATGGTGAAGTGCGGTAATATGCGGTGCAGACTCATGGTATTGGGAAACTCCGAATCACCGTGTTCAGTGAAACTTAAGCGACTCACTAGTATTGCTGCTGGAGCAGGGTCGGGAGTGGAGGTTGCTTGAGAGAACGAGTTCACGCAAACTGTACGAAAATTGGCTGACTTGGTGAGGAGTCCGAATAAAAGTCGCCAGGATCTTTACATCCGATCGAAGGTTCTGCAGGTTGCAAAATCATTTTGAAATCTCGTTATACTGCCAACGGCTTGCAGGTGGGTAGCATAAAGACGCTTCTTGATGACCAAAATTGTGTTGAATTGCATTTAAAAATTTGTTCATGTAAAAAATATGGTGGCAAAAACCAGTAACGTCAGAACCGGGTCCTGAATATCGGCAGACTAGAAACGTGCTTTGGTTTCATTTGTGTTTATAAATGTACTTATGATGAACCAATAGAGTTTAATGTCTTCGGGATCTCGCCATCAGGTCAGTACATATCTAATAGTTAAAATAAAAGCGAGAGATGAAATGCACTGCGAAGGTTGGTTAGTGAAATGCGAAACGAGGAGACACGAGTAATTGGTTTTCTGCGCCCCCCTCCCAACCCCGCTCTACCATGTCGCATCTCGTTGGATGCTGTGAGACAGTGTAGAGGGCTGTTGAGTGACTTGGATGGTTGATTCGTTTTACACGATCAAGGCAGACTCAGCGTTCGTAGGAAACGCTATTGACAGCACAGTACCGGGTTTCGCAGTCGTATAGCGATTGTCTCGGCCGTTGTCAAGCAACGCCGTTCAATAGATACTGGCAGTATATTTGGCACGCGGTAAGCGATTTGAAATGACTCATTTGGCATGACTACGTGCTCAGTGTCAGTTCGGTGGGATGCGGTTGAGCTCCTGGCTGAACTGTTGAGATTAGTGGTATTCCGGTAAGCGAGGTGCTCGCGTATTCTCTCATAAAGTTGCCGTGTCGTGCGCCCAACATCTTCCGCCGAACAGCAGCAGGAGAAAGAATTTACAACCATATTCTGGGTGGGGACTGGCATCTTGTTTTTGAGGTTTGAGTTAAGTAGAGGGTTTGTTGTGAACCAAGACCGCACAGTTCCTGCCGGAAATGTTCGTTGTAAGAATTGAAACAAGCGGCGATTGACCGCGGCTATATTTAGAGCATTTATGGCAGTTCAACAATCAGTATTCATGTTAAGTATTTGCGGGTTCTGAGTCGAGCAACGACCGTAATTTCATAATCCACACTTAACCCAATATGTCCACATTTAAGCACTCACCAGTCGTAGCGCTCACATCTTAATAAAAGACAACACCATCGAAAGAATTTATATTAAACCAGGAGGCTAACTTTCTGCCAAAATGCATAATTTAAAAAGCACTATATTCACAGCGTAATTCGGTGTAACTATCGGCGATGGACAACTTCCAATTCTTGATCGTACAGTTAGACGGACCGTGTATTTGTGCCTCAATTTTGACGCACACGTTTCGTAGAACAAAACAAACGTTGGAAACGTTTTTCCAAGTTATGGCGAAATGGGTAAACCAGGCAGCTGGGAACACTTCCGCTGGCAAGCAAATTGTTTCGTGGTCGTCCGAGACGACATGGGTGTTGAAAATTTCAACCTGAAAGTTTGCAATGAGATTGATATTTTAGGCAAACGTTGGACCCAGTAGTATGCAACCGTGTCGCAACAATATTGATGACGCAGAAATTCAAAAGAAATATTCACATGGTTTTACAGAACGGATATCCTAAAAGTTTCGTATTGAAGACTATGAAAGCCGTTAAGCCCAAACCTACACAATGTTCTGTTAGGTAGAAGCCCGTGTACATGAAGCTTCCATTCAAAGGTGACTCGGTTGCTTAACTAATCACCGGAAGGCATATAAACTCTGTTGATACGAACTAGTTGGCCGCTACTCAATGTTTGAGCTTCACCTCCGACCCCACTATCAAATTCTGCTTGAAGGACAAATTGCCACGTTCTACCATCAGCCTTTGTGTGTACTCATTTGCATGCTCGTGCGGAGCATCATAAGTTGGTCGTGCGACAAGGCATTTGTCGGACGGGATGCAAGAACACAATCCCGTATCTCTTAGTGGTAGTGGGAAGAGACCAGGCTCAAGCGCGATTGCATCACATTTGGCCGAAACTAATCATATCAAATAAAAGGAGCAATCCTTCACCATCATATACCGGGTACCTCTGAACCGATCACGACTGGTATCATCCAGACTATTATCGATCGCAGAGGCGATTGGAATCCGACTGCTGAATCCGCAAATTTGCATCCAAAAGAAACTTGTGCGACCTCTGGATTTGAACTGGCCTACGAAACATCCGGTCCCACAGTCTATCCAACATTGACGTCACTTAGCTTATCCCGTGATCCATCGACCTATTTCTCATCCAACCCCACCCCCTTCCTTTGATCTCCATTTCTCTAAATTGCACATAGCCTCGATCTTAACCTTTTCCACGAGATTTCTGCAACCATATGCATATGTGATTTATTAGCCTCGAGGACAAACTTGATTTCTGCTACCATATAAATTTTGATGTATTAGCCAAGAGGAACAATCTCAGAAATCAAGCCTTGTCCGCTACGTTCTTCGTCCTCATGGTTTAAATATGTTGGCCTCGCAATTTAGCTTAGACGCACTGCATGCTGAATATGACACATGCTCGTATAAGTCTGTAAACGAAGTTCACATGGCACATTAAACCTAACTACTAGTGATTAAAGCCATAGATTAGTTACTCCACAATCCCGCAACCCGATAAAAATTGCAATCTTACTGAACCCAGTTTCCTAAGTTCTGATCGGCACAAAACATTAAGCTCAGTGAATGGAACAAGGTAGGAAAACACGTGACCTCGATGGAATCATACACTGCATCTTTATTTTATACCGGTTCTGTAACACACGCAACCTTCCGCGGTAACCTGACAAGATGCCAACGTTTCAAGGGCCGGACCAAGATATTCTGACAGATCATTCGATCAGCTGATAAAAACATGACGAATGCTTGGTTTTTTATTTAAATATTCATCAAACCAGGTCATTAAATTATAAATACGTCTTTGATTGAATACTACACTCTTGGTAAATCACGATTGGACGTTGAATTGTGGAAAACAATAAAACAACATTGGTATTGCTGCCACGAGGTGAAACACCTGAATAATTTTTTTCCAACTCTGAGCCCGGTTAAAAAAATAGCCAAATCTATCACGGAACACAAACTAGAACAGAACATATCAATTTTGGTGAAACAACTCTAAAAAATAAATAGACCTTCACTCCGCCGCATTCAATAAAAGTAGCCAGAAGAAGTTACTCTACAGATATTCAGGTAACAAAAATAAAGGGATCACAAATCAAATCTGTTCATTGTTCTTCCTCCTGATTCCAAGTTGCGGTATCCGGACTAGTAGCCTGTTCGCTAACTATCATTTATTTTTGAAGAG